CGGCATTCCAAAGAAGACTGCAGCACCCAAAGGTAAGAGTTTTGGTGCCGTGCTGCTCAACACTCATGTCTCTGCTCTCTGTAGCACAGAATCGCAGTCATTTTTATAAGAAAGCAGGACTAGTGGCTCTAAAATTAGAACCCCATTGATTTATTAGTCAATTTATCACTAGTAGATTACTCAGCCGTGAGCCTTTTCTGTGACAAATACAACACACTGACTTTTTGTGATAAACGATGTGTGAACTTTTAATCTAACCTTCACTTTTGGAAATGTATTTAATACCACCCCCTGGCCTCTCTTTTTTGTTCCTCAGTTCTAAGTGCATACTGGTTATTTTCTTTGAGCTTTTTACAAGACAGTAAAAATCTGATAGTCATTTTGGTAAGGAATGATTTCTGGCTTTTTAAACCACATCTTTGGTATCCCAGGCCCCAGTGGTCAGAGTGAGTCCTCACAACACTGCACATCAAGCGGTGTAATCCAAGGAGTCTGTAAAGGATGTGCCATTGTTGACAGTTGAGTTTAACAGTAAATCTCCTAAATAGTAGAGGTGAATTAATGCTGTGCAATCAGTACAGCTGACTGAGGACTAGCAGTACTGCAGAAGTTTAGAAGTCATTGATCTAATATTGATCTGTCCCTGTCTTGAACCAACACTTGAATTGCTAAAAGGGTAAATGGTAACTTACTTACTTACTTTGGAGGAAGTGCAGAAGATTCAAAAGTAAAAAATAAAAGATACTGTCTTTTACTGCTGTTGTGAAGCAGCATGAGTGAGTTGTAAACTATGTTTGAACCTGACCATGTAGACATGTTTAAGTAGTTTCACTAGGGTTGTTTTCAGCTTGCTTGAAGTCTGGAGTTTTCTTTTTAAAAATAGAAAAAATAAAGTTATCTTGTCATCTCTCACCTAGGTAAAGGTAGAGGGGCAAAGAAAAGGAAAGCATCTAGTTCAGAAAATGAAGGTGACTACAACCCTGGGAAGAAAACACCTAAATCAACACCAAGCAAGGTCAGTTCCAGATATGCTCTTTTCTCCTTGTAAAGGGAACCTAATACATTCCTTTATATAAAAGGTACATGTTCTTACTGTAGATTGCTAATATGAGAATGGGGGGTTAGATCTGTTTGTTTAGAAATGACATGTTAGATAAGGTTTCCTTCAACTGTGAATGTTAAAAGGGAAAAGTTACACAGCATCATAACTGCTTTGTCATTTCTTTTCCAAGAAATCCAAGAAGGCCGCTTTTGACCAGGATTCCGATGTGGAAATCTTTCAATCAGGCTTTGCCTCTGAAACTGCCCCAAAGCCACGGACAGGCCGGGCTAGAAAAGAAGTTAAATATTTTGCAGAGTCTGATGAAGATGATGATTTTGATATGTTTAATTAAGTGCCCAAAGAGCACACAAATGTTTTCCAACAACTATCTTGTGTTGTCCTTTTGTCCCTTCTGTCGCAAACTTTTGTACATTTGACTTATTTTATGTGATAATGTAATTGATGGTTTTTATTATTGTGTGTAGGCATTTTAACATTTTGTTCTTACACCTACAGTTTTATGCTCTTTTTTACTCATTGAAATGTCATGTATTTGTCTGACTGGCTTGTAGAGATGTTCTAGACAGCTGTGCTAAAGCACATTTTAATTGTCATGGTTGCAACCAGCAAACCTGCTTTTTGAAATGAAGTTTAAACATTAAAAAATGGAAAACTATTCTCTGTGTGTGTGTGTGTAACATCTGGACTAGAGGGACTACTCCACGATTGGGTTTTTTTAAAATAAATATATTTTATTCTTTGCCAGGAGACTCCATGGAAAAAGGTAAACAGTATATGAACATAGAAAGCATTGTTAAACAATCTCAATGTACAAACAGAGCCAGTGAAAGTACATCACAGACTTGCTAGAATATATATATATAAAAAAAAATCCACTAGTGCTTTAAATGAAACCTAAGAAACTGACACTTTAAATCTGTTAACCATTCTACCACAGTTTTCACTCTGCTTCATGGTGATTTAACAAGGCCAAGGCGGCAGATTCTCTCCTTATGTTCCTAGAAGTCCTAGCTGTACTTCCCTAGCACGTGGAAGGCTGGATAACCCAGCTAATTCCCAGCAGTCAAAGCTTACAGAAATACCCTAGACTCACCGATTCAGAAGCTGTAAATGAGTCTGCTGGTTATCATCCCATGAAGCTTCCCTAATGGCTTGTGGACGAGTAAACAAAAACATGGTAACACTGAAAAGTGTTTCTGCCTTGGAGGCTATCAATCGTTACTGTAGAAATGGAGTAGTTAATGGTGTTGCTGGGTCACCAGCCAGGTAAGAAACCACTTCTTGAAATTTTAAAGTGACATTAACAGTGGAACAAATGACATCTGAAGAACTGATCTGGCAGTTAATGCTGCTACTGCCGTCTTTTCTGCTAGTGCAGTGACTTTTTGTATACTTTTTACAAGGGAGGAGATGCGAACTGAGGGCATCAAAGACAAGTTTTCATCTTAAACTAAAGCAGACGGTCCTTTAAACTTCCTTTCCTGGATGAGTACAGTAGTCCATTTCATATGGTTGGTGTCTTGATTGTTTTAGGTATGAGAGACAAAGGGAAAGCACCAAACATCCAGTATGGAAAGTACAGCCTTACATTTGTATGTACAAAGTCACCAGAAATGCAACCAGAAGTTAACGTTTGAGATCTGTCTTGTCACCATGCAGTCTTGAACGTTCAGAGGAGAAAAAAGAAGCTTAACTTTTTTTTTTGCATGAAATGGCTGATTTAGAGTTTCAAAAGTTTGCATTTTTTTCTAGTTTTAAGAGTTTAAACAGCAAGGAGTATATATCGATACATATGAAAATTTCTTGGTCCTTGTTGAGTTTTCATCTATATATATACATATATAGATATATATTAAGTCCAGAAACTTAAGCAGCAGTAAAAATGTTTTTCTTGCTTTTCATCCCTGTACATAAGGTATTAGGAATGTTTGAAGTAGCTGGAAAATGTCTTATTCCACCATAGGGGATTGACTGACACTGCTGTTATCCACCGAACTAGGCGAGATACTAGGACTGTGTTCTGCAGTATTTCCGTTTGAGGTTGGTGTCAGTGGTTCGTGTCCTTCAGAGTTCTCCAACATTTCCTGAATAAGAGGTGGCATGGATCCAGGAATTTCCATTTTCAATGTGATGACACGTTCTGCACCTTTAAAGAGAAAACAAAAAGTCCTTCCCATTATAGTGTGATTCCTACAATTTCTTTTTGGTTAGCAACGTCAGTAGTAATTTGAGGATACGTTATTTGAATGGATTTGGTGTCTCCTATATTTCCTGCATACAAAATTATGTCAGTGAACTAAAAATAAAAAGGAGTTAGATGAGTACTTAAGAAAAAATGAATTTAAAATTATGACATAGCAACTGATATTCTAATACAGGTAAATTGGATGAACTGATGCTTTTCACAGAAGGAATCAAAATGGTATTAAATTGTACTGAAAAATTAAATTAAGCTGTGATTATGTAGATATCTTTTCATAAATTGGAATATACTTCATGGTTTTTAATCTGTGCTGGGTCTAGAAAGACTATAGAGTGACAAAAATTCCAAACACTGTCTGATTTGTGTTAAACAGGCGAGGCGACTCCTGCAAGAGAACTGCAGTGATGTAAATCAGAACATTTCTTTCTCATTTAGAAAACTGAAATAAGATTTAGAACTTTACTAAACCGTTGTTTTATAGAAGAACAAATTCAGACAAAAGGATACTGGGCTTGTGGAGCTGCCTTCTGTAGCTTTCAGGCATCTTCTCTTGTGCTAATTAACCACACGAGTGCACAGAAATGCTGATCCTGTTTATGTCTGACTTACTTAACTGAAATTTTGGCCTTGTCAAGTCTAACAGCAGCTATTTTTAGACAGAGGTGGCTTTGCAGGCTAATGGGTGTAGGAATAAACAAAATGACTACATCGATCCTGACTACACAGACTGGGAGCCAACAACTAATGCCAGGTAAGAGAAAGAAACCCCAAACAACACAAAGCCACGTGATTGATAGTGCCTGATGCTCCTAAGGTGTGTAAGGCTTCTTAAACGTGATGGGCACACAGAGACAACTGTATGAACAGTCAGACACCTCACAGTTTGCTCATGACTTGCACACATCACCACACGGGAGTCCCTGTGCTGTTAGCATGCAGAGGTATGGTGTGAGTGGAGGCCTATGTTTAAAACCTGGCCAGGACCCTGCCTGACACATGGCAGTTACCTCTAAGCAGTTCCTTCAGTGATTAGTAAATTACTACAAACATGGGAATCCTTAAATGCTGGATGGACAAAAAGAAAGTGAAAAGAAAGGCTGTTAGTGGGAGATGTCTGATCTGTAAAGCAGGAGGGTTCAGCTGCTGAGGCTGCTCTACACTGCTGCCGCTGCTGCTTAGAGTGTTAGGCAAGCCATGTTCAGCAATAATCTAATGCAACTTCAGTGCATGAAGCATCCCTGCTGTAAACAAATGATACTGCTGAAGGACTGAAAGTCAGTTAATAAACATAAAGAGACAGCAGTATTTTGGGACTGCACCTCAAATAAAGTGAGGGTATATGGTAAAAGTTCTACTCCACAGTGAGGCATGAACATGCTGTACAGATTTTGCTGCTGGTGTTGAAAAGACTTTATCAGGACAACATTGGGAAATTTATAGCCATAAGCCTCAGCGTTCAAATATCTCGCATAACAAGTTGCATAGGATTCCTGATCATCTTAAAATCCGAGTCTGCTGGAGTAGGAACCTGTGCTTTTTAAATGTGAAGAGCGGCAAGAAAAGCCAACAAAATTGAAGAGAAAACAGTCTGGATATATTCTGCTTATCTGTGCTCCTGCAGTGCACATGCTGGAGAGAGTATGTTGCAGCCACAGTGGTAACCCCACATTGCAAGGGAGCGCTTCTGTTCCTGCCTTAATTCAGGAGCTTCAAAAATCATCTACAAAGCAATGACCAACGTGACAAGCAAATGCTGATTAAAAAGTCTCTCAAATAACTGTCGTTAGAGACAAAAGGGCAAACTCTGTAATTGGAAAGGAATTACTGCAGAATTATGCTGAAAGCTCCTCTGAAATCCAGTCTATAGCCACATAGGTGCCTGTACATACAAGCTCATGTGCATGCTTATGGGTCAGGGGTAGCAAATCTGTAGCTGAGTAAGCACAGTAAAAAAGAGCTGCATCAATCACTGCAAAAAAGAACTGTAGCAGTTTAGATGCTCTGTATCTAGGCTGGTACATCTCTGATATAGCTCCCCTACAGTCCACTTCTACCATCAGAACAGCCGCCTGGCCTCCCCTCTGCGGCTGTACCCCTGGTGAGGGACAACGTGCCAAGCAGGGAACCCCTCTGATTAAATGAGAGCATTCAATGATACCTGTGCTTCAGAGAATTTACGTGATAGCACTTAGACTGCACGTGTGTTTCACATGATCAGTCAGTCACACACGAGGTTACACAAAATGTTAAACCAAAATTGTTCCATGTGTAAGCATGGTTAGTTTGGGTTAGAGGTGCTGAATCTCCCAAAGCCTGGATAAGATCCACTCTAAATCTTCAGCACAGTCAGGGGAAACTTGGATGCACACGTGCTCTCTGCTGTCTGCAAACAGACTTTGCTTTTTGAAAGCCATTAGTACAGACAGCAAAGTACATGCTGACCTGCACCCCCTTGTAAGCAGTAAGAAAGGTTTCATTCAGGGTTTTATCTTGTCTTAAAAACACCAACAAAGAGTTCATGTTAATGATTTGCTAACCTACTTACACCTGAGACACCATTTGCACTCTTTAAGTTGCATGAAGAACGTAGCACTGTATGGTTGAAGTAGCACCAGTGTCAACACAGGAGTTAAGTTACACAAAGGAGGGAAGAGAAGGGTCACAAGTACCTTTTCTAGATGTATTAAAAAAATAATAACCCAGGTCTGTAGGCCAGTTTCTCCTGACACGTAACAGTGACACTGCTGCTGAGTTATTGGGAGACACTGTACCTTTTGCACTGATGCTACGAAGATCTGTGATTTTCATTAAGATCTTTGGGAACATATGAGGCTTGTTGGGTCGTCTCTTTCGGATATAGATTTTCAGTGCTTCAAGCAATGGTTCCTGAAGCTTATCCACTTTTACTGGTTCTTCAAGGTCCTGGCGATCTGTAGGGAAGTATCGTATCACTTGTATTATTTTAAATGTTTATTTTTTTACAAACTCCAAATCACAGGAACTCCTCCATGTTCTTGAGTAGAACTCCATGAATTTCATCTTTTGCTCCACCTATGACCCACACTCTGCAGTGAGTATTCCAGACAGAGAGGATAAACCATGGCTTTCCAAAACTTAAGATTCATTTTTCCTTGGCAAGGTTTGTCATTTGAGTGGTCCAGAATTCCCAATTTGCTCTTGTACCACCCTCTCCAAGGGGAAAACACCTTGCTGCAAAAGATTTCTCAACAAGGAATCTGGAGAGGGACATTTTACAAGGGCACGTAGGGACAGGACAAGGGGGAATGGCTTTAAACTGAAAGCGGGGAGATTCAAATTAGACATTAGAAAAAGTGGTAAGACCCTGGCACAGGTTGACCAGAGAAGCTGTGGCTGCCCCATCCCTGGCAGTGCTCAAGGCCAGGTTGGACACAGGGGCTTGGAGCAACCTGCTCTAGTGGAAGGTGTCCCTGCTCATGGCAGAGGGCTGGAACTATCTTTAGGCCCCTTCCAACCCAAACCATTCTGTGATTCTATGATATTTCATAATTAATTTTGTACATATCACTGATAAGACACGTAGGTACACAAAGAGATTGCAGCTAATTTAGGTTTCGTTTCAGTATTAAACCAACGTGAGTTACCATCAGGTATCAGCAGATGGCAGTGCTAGCTTGAGTGACAGCAAATGTCACCCATAAACCACAATACACCTATTAACGGCACCTCAGGACCCACCAATGCTTTTTGTTATGGTTGGACACATATAAAATCGGAATGGTTTTGTACTAAAGATCCACAGTCAACAAAGACGGACTCTGGTTTTCTTAGATCCTCCTACCAGCACCTAGTTTGTGTTTCACCACAATGGCCAGCTACAACCTGGTGTGTTCCTGTTGCTCGTCCAGAGTTTGCAAAGGATGAGGAGCAAGACAAGGTGGTTGAAATAACAGAAATTCGCAGAGGGTTTTGTAAATGACCCAAGGCTTTGCTTTTTGTAATCTAAGCCCAAGGGTTTACCTGATTTTACTTGACAGTGTCCCTTTCACATTGCAATCAGCCCACCCCAATCATGTCATCAGTGTCAGTACGACAGCTTTGAACTATATTTTTTTTTCTAAAGAAACTTATCCCATATGACTTCTGTGTGAATGCAACTACACACATACACAGTCAATTACAGATATAAGTAAAAGCTGCGTAATGAGCACTTCGCCATAACAAAGGTCGTTCATACAGTACCCACATACTGCTTACAGGAAAATGCAGCAGGATACAGCCTGTAGTCCTTCATCAGGCAAATAACAGGATCAGTTGCTTGACAGAATGATTCAATGCATTTAAAAACGTATCAATAATAAACCCAATAACTACCAGCAGTGGAAAAGAAACCTTTAGTGTTAAGTGGTTTATAAACCATATAATATTGTATCTGTATATTATATGGATATTTTAGTACAGGAAAGCAAAACAAGTAACACATCAACAAAGTTCTTATCGTGCCTGTCCTTTTCAAGTGCATCCCAGTTCATGCTGTACAGTACCTCCGCAGATTAAGCAGATGGCACTAAGGAGACCTGTTTCCGTATCATCCATTTCCAAAGGCAGGAGCTGGTTGGCAAATGTGAAGACGAGATCAGTCAGTGGGCCAAATCCGGCGTTGTGCATCTGAGTTCGGTTTAGGGTAAGGCCATCTGAAAAGGTCATGGTGTCTTGTTCTGGTGTGTATCTTGTGCAAATTCTAAGAATCTGCGGAAGGACAAGACAAAAAGAAGAAATCTGAAGAATTTCATCCAAGGAGGTTTGTTGCATTCCCACGACATGGCAAACAACCCACAGAACTGCAGTGCATCACGTCAAAACAACCCAAAATCAAACTCCAGTTTGTTTAGTTCCAGAAGCACAAAAATTCTCTGGTAAAGCATAAATATACTCGATTGATTATGGGTGTTTCTTTGTAACAGAAATTTAAGAATAGGAATTTTCCTCATAGTTATGCAATATCCAAAACTTCTAAGCAATTCTCACCACTTTGGTCCCCCACATTACCACAACATTCACATAAACTGCTCTTTCATTAGTATGCCATACACACCTAGCTATTGCACTGCTGATCTGATGCAGCACCATCAAAAAAGTATCTCCCCTCTCTGAACATACACATATCTCATTGATTTGGGGATCAGTTTTGCATGACAGTGCTTCTCTGGGTCGTGTCTTTGGCAAGGACGAAGTGTCTCTGTAGTACCTTGTGTGAGTGTGGACAGCTGTGAGCTGGGGAAAACCACCTAACTTGTGCTTGCTTTCTTGTGGGACAGCAGCCAGGAGAACATCCCCCTGTGAACACAACCCTGCAGTGAGTGCTCCATAAAGAGTGGTGCAAAGCCCGCTGGCTCCCTGGAAGCTGCAGTTACAGTCTCCACGGAGCACTGCTCATGTTGCCAACCTGGGAGCTCGCACCTAAACCTCCACACAGCAGCTGGCTCAGCTTTTCTGCTCTGATGGTTGTTGGTTCCACGTGCTGTAACCTCCTCACCAGCCCATCGGCCTCCAGCCTTCTTCAAGGCTCTGGTGCTGCCCCCATCCCTGGGCAGCACTGGTAAGGGCGCACACCCTGTCTCCCTTGTGCAGTGTCCCTTCCCATGGCCAGCGGTGCCATTCACTGCCGCGCAAGCCCAGGCAGTGGTGGTTTTGGCAAGTGTGCTCGAATGCTGACAGCCACTCAGCGCTGACCCCAGATGTAAGAGCGTTCGAGGGGAGGATGGGGATTCACACCTCTAACTGCGCACGGAGGAATGCAAACCACATGAATAAAACACCGAGGATGCTCTGCATTTTGTTAGCAAATGCCTCTGGGGTAGCTGCAGCGTCAAGAGTGTTGTCACAGCAGAGGTGGCAGCACGGCCAGAGACAGCCGAGTTCAGAGCAAACCCAGGCTGTGCCTCACAAGAGACTCTCTATGGTGGGGGCTCATTTGTACAGCTGCCATTAATGAACTCTGCCTTAACGATCAAATAACAGAGACGTCCGTCATGTTGACCTATTTCTATTATACATACATCAGTGCTTAATGTTTAAAATAATTAGAGGTGGGAGAAGGCTTATCCCTAAACTAAAACAGAACCAAACCTTGCACAAGCTCACGGCTCAGCTGAGCTGACTGCAGCTGTACCTTTTCAGGCTTGACTGTAGTTATGTCCCATACAGCCACTCTACTTGGTTTTAAAGATTCAACAAAAGAGATTTACAGGAATGTAAGTGAGCACAGGAGCATCTTCGTTATTCCTATGGCTGCTGAGGCTCCGAGTCAGAGGCCCTGGCGCTTGGCAGCTGACCAGTCTGGGCTTGGTTCTCCCACTTTCATCTCTGCCTGGCAACAGTGCTCCAAATAAGCAGGGGGGAGGATGGGGAGGACATGGCATGTAAGAGACCTACAGGGAAGCTGTTACTTCTCTTCTTAAATTCCTCGGTAAGAGACTTAATAGGGTGCATTTCTGCAGAAGGCTCTTCAACTATTTTCTATCTCAGCAATAATCTTATCTCACGTTGTGGGCATACACTGAAGCGCTGAGGCTCTGCGTGGTTGGGCAGGCATGTTTCATATCGTTCCCCTGCCCCTCAGTTGGAATAAGCTCTTGCAATTACTTGAGTCAATATCCAAGAGAAGCACAAATACAAAGGCACAGCGCTCAAATTCTTCACTGACCACAAATTCCCCACAAATATAAATGGCTGCTGCTATCTCCAAAGGTTTTACGTAAGAGTATTGCAGGATAATTAGCAGAAATTAAGATTATAAAGGATGGCAACCCCTCAATAAGGGACAGCAGGTTCACCATATTCTGTGCTGCCACGTTAGGGGAGAGAAGGGCAGGTTCTCTCCCCTGAAGCTTGCTGTTAGTTACCTTTTTAAATCACTAAAAGAATTGTATAGAAATAGAAGAAACATGCAGAGTTTGTGGTTTTCAAGAAAAACAAGGTTTTAAAACTTTGCATGTTTACTGAGAAACCCAAGAGCTACTTGGTCTACTTCTGTAATGGCATGCAAGAGAAACTGGAGCGTGGCTCTTCCCATCTGAAGTCTGCACATACAGTAGCTGACTTCCAGTAAGCCTGTGGCCTGTGCTCATCAGTTACCCAACTTCTGGAGGAACAAGGCTCTGTACTTAAGTGGTACTGATTCTCCCTTAGCTCAGCTGGGAAGAAAGGCAGCCCCTTTTACTCTGGTGCTATTTGAATTGCTAAGCCTTAGCAATGAGAGTTACACCCTCAGGGACCCCCGGCCCAACAAATTAGCAGAGCAGGACCTGGATTTAAATTGGGCAACACTGTGGTGTTTGGCAGATACAGCTCCCCACGTACTCCCTCTGAGGGCAAGTTTGGGTACCAACTGCGAGTGCTGCAGTGCCCAGAGACCCCTGGCCCAGGAGGACTGGGGTGCCCTGGAGCAGTCACCCTACCCAGCCTGGAGGCCAAACGAGCACCTCCTGATGCACAACAGGCTGCTGCTCCCTCGCCATGCTCACCCCATGATGCTGTAAAGCCCCTCTCTGGGGGTTCATGCTAGAGGTGCTCAGACCTCCCAGATCACTGCTCCCCAGGGCTAACACAGAGCAAGTCCTCCGGGCTGGATCCTCATTGGGAATGAATCTGGTTACTCAGCCCACAGCCCCCGTGGGCACGAACAGAAAGAGACCTCCAGGGGCTCTGCAAAATTTATAATGAAAACATAAAGGTCCCATGAAATTGAGTTACTTCCCAGCTTAGACAGCAAGCAGGATGGCTGCAAAAGGGAGGCTTCAGCCTTCTATACCCAACTGCTGCACCAGCCATCAAGCAGAGGAGCCTGCAGTGGTTCTGCTGTGCACCAGCACAGCTGAAGCACAACTATACGCTTTCTGCATTGCACTTAGGCTAACTGCAGCAATGGGGTCTCAGGTTCCTCCTGCATTCCTTTGACATTATCCCACAACACGCTGTTATTAAACTCCGAGACAGACAAATTGAAAACTTGGGTTTGTTTTTTTAGGAATTGTCCCTTCACCAAGATCTGTGGAACACCATGGATATTGCTGATTCGCTGCTAAACCTTTCTTGGGCAAACTTCCAGTGTCAAAGTGAAGCTGATTTCAAGCTCGTATTCACTGAGGAACATATGGGAAACGTCAGCACTTCGAAATAAGAAATCACAGTATCTTTCTCCATTTTAAACTGAACTCCTAATGTCCTCAGTGTTGTTTAGATTTTGTAACCAAGCCAAGTATTTTAGTTGTCACTCTGCTCTTAAATGCCACTTACAGCCATAAATAAGGTTCTTGCCCACGATTAAAGGACCCTTTGTTTTAAAGAATATTTATATCTCGAAGCATCTGGGGTTCCTTCGAGCCAGTTACAAACTGCAAAGCAAAAACCCTACGGGTTGCGCAAAACTAAAAGCATCCACAAAGTTGCTACCACAGAATTGTTACTCATTTTAAACGGATTAGTTAAGGCAAGCTGGGCTTTGCATTTTAGAATCCTGTTAGACATTAGCTGCCTTAGCTGGCTGGGACGGTTTCCCCTAGAGGAGAAACCCAAGCAGGTGACAGAAACAATGAACAAACCTCCACATACGTGCTGCTACACCCCATCAGCACGAGCTGTTCCACACACACAAATGCTTTCGCAGCATTAACGCGCGGGGTTTTACAACACAAAGCAAAAATGATGCTATTAAGGATAAGCTTTCAAGGACTTCTCAGGCTTTTATCCATTGGATTTAAGACAGGCTGAACTCTGGACTCTTTCCACACTCATTTTGCTAGGGCTCAGTGGGGCTGGGGATACTCAACTACTGCCAGGCCAGTGCACAGCAGTCAGAAGCACTCGCTTTTGTGAGGGTTACTGACTGAATTCAGTAATATTTATCGTGAAACTTCTGGCACCAGAGCAGATATAAATTCCACCATCCTCAATCGGCGTCTTCAGCTGCCTTGGGAGGCTTGATGTTATTTCCCTTCCAGAGATTCTGCTTATTTGTATATAAAACAATTCTTTGGCGCATACCCAGTAGAGTTTACTGAGCTCCTGGCACCACATTGCCTTTGTCAGCCTGCTCAAGGGGGAAGGTTAAGCATCCACGGCCACAGGAACCAACTAAAGCAGACCCCTTGGCAGGGTCTTTAAATGCTTAAGGCTTCCCATGGCCTGTGCTGAGTGGTAGGCAGAGAAGCCGGGGGTCCTGCTGGTGTGGGGAGCCCAACACAATTCCTGGCTGGGACGGGAGTCCCATGTTGATGCTGCAGCTCTGAGAAGACATCCAGGGGATTGTACAGCAGTGGAATCATGAGTGTACACCGGTAAGGCTCACAGCCATGCTCTGCAACACTCACACAGCACAGCACAGATAGACACTGGGTGCTCACACAGCATGAGGGGGAACAGCATTTGCTCCGTGTCTCAATGCACAACAAAATAAAACCTCTCATAATTAGGACAAATAGCTTGCTGGGGAGGAATATGAGCTATTAAAATGCTGCCCCAAGTACTGAAGTTTAGCTTAAATAAAGATACAGAGCTGCATGGCAATTCTGATTATGTGCAGGTGATGTAGGTTTAATGGGTATGGGCATTTCAGAGACAGCGTGCACACCACGCATTACTGTGCCCATGGTAATTATCCCTTTTTCTTTTTAAGCAGCACATAAAACAGTCACATAAAGCTTGTGTAAATGTTGCACAGGAAAGTTAGGGCTCTCTGCGGCAACCACATCTTATCTACTCCTGGTTTTGGAAGATCCTCAGCTCATCCCTGCTATGGGTAGCTACGGCACTCGCTACGCCCTGCTTGCTCAGAGGTGTCACAAGCTCTGGCTTCATGAAATATGAAAAAGAGAATGAGCAGGTGATTGGGAATGACACGTCTCAATAAAGTTTATAATTAGAACATAAAGGTTGCCACATGGCCACAAAGTAAAAGTGTTGAATTGTATTAAAGACTCAACCTTTTCCATCCCTTACTTGGAATAAAGTCACAGTTTACCACATGCTTCATTATTCTTTTTCTGATCTGGCAACTAGGCTTTTATTTAGTCACTTTGACCAAAACCACTTTGGCTGTGAAATGCCTTTATCTAGGTGCTTCAGGTAAAACTGCTTTTAGAAAGGGTGTCCCCAAATACCTGATATTGTCCATTGCCTTGCTGGTGCTGCAAACAGTGAACTGCGCTGCCAGGGGGACCCTGTGCAACAGGGGCTGTGCATGCTCCAAGGGTAAGCTCCCACTGCCCACCCCAACAAAGAGAGCCAGGAGCTTGCAGGATCCTGAGCAATTACAGATTTAGGGTATAGGATTTTCCAGCAGCTACGGAGCCAGGGCAAGGCAGCAATAAGTAAGGGGCAGCAGCTAAGGGCTGAAGGTTTTGGATGTACAGGTTCTTGCTATATCCTGACTCCTCCCCACCATTTCTGGGTAGTTTCTGTATTTGTTACTGGTTACAACAGCAAAGCACGAAGTATTCCTCTGGCAGAACACGCTTGGGGAAGTGCCACAGCTTGTTGATCACTGTATGCCTTTCAGGGTAAGGGGAACATAACTGTGTCTTATCAGGACAGAGCTGGCGACGACAGGCGTGCAATTGGTAATGGATGGCCCTGCCCCGTGGAGAGACCACACACAGTTAACAATGAGATGGGCAAGTCTGAGTGAGCGCCTGGATGAAGGGGACAATGAGAGGTGACTCTTGAGCACGGCAGGGCAGCCTCAATCTTCCCTTTTTTCACAGGCCAAAGAACGATATCCCTTCCTCTCTCCCACCCCCCTCTTCCTCCTTCATCAATGTCCTCTAGATGTGATTCTTCAAAACAGCTTTTGACCAAAACAAGAGGAAAAGGTCACAGCAGTTAGCGTCCTTCTCAACATGATCCTCTTTGAAGCAATGCACTAATGCACTTTTAGAAATTCAAAGATTAATTACTTCAACTTCAAATTCAATAGTTTAAACTCCTGCGTCATGCCAAAAAATGTATCTATAGTAGCCATTCTACAATGGGCTTCTTGGCCATGCTTGGCTCAGTGAAGGCCTGAATGCTTGTGCTGAGAAGAAAACATTTTAAATATGTTTAAAACATGTCAAAAATACCGTTTTACTGAAAGTTATTGCTCTGACCAATAACAAGAAGCATATTTGCCACTAAAAGCCTGAAGACCTCTAGAGAAATGCTGAGATAGCAGAGGGCTCCTCTGAAGGTCAGCATGCCAGAAACAACTGCAGGCAAAGGGAAGGAAGACAGCTTGCCTTGACATAGTGGAGAAAAACTCCAAGCCCCAGGTTGTATACTTGCCTATTTAATATCACATTTAGCAAAAATGGATGAGAGTCCATTTCAGTATCCATTTCCACAGGTGCCTGCAGCACTGGTGAAAATAGGCAGATTGGCACCTGCCAAGCCCCAGCACACCAGTTTCCCCTCTACAACCTTCCAAAATGTCACTCTCAAGGTTTGTATCTTGTTCCTTGAATTAACTCATGACCACAGGTATAGCACATTCCTAAAATGTTACATGGTGGGCTGTCTTTCTAGGTATCCTTTATACAGGGCATTAAGGTTTGGAGGGAGGAAGAAGGAGGAAGGAAAAAGAATCAGATGTCCCTTCAGTTAACACTGTTAACACAATAAGGGAAATCTCAGCATTGCAGAGATTTCAGTTTAGTGCCACAATACCAAAATGTGCCCTTCTTGTAACTGTATCGAAATCTGCTTAGTAGAGGTTTAGTTCACACGTAGCGTTTTGGTTCATACTTATTTTGAAAGGTATGCTCATCCCATATAACACACGTCTGTAGATGTACTAGAGTCCACTTGTGATCGTACCAGACTACGTGGTAAATTCAGTTTTGCAGCCATAAGGCAGGGGCAGTATTTGACTTCCTCTCCTTTTCGATTACACGAAAAAGAAGGCTATAGAATACATTAGTAGTAGAACAATGATGTTAAAAGCACATACCAGTATATCCAGGCAGGCGGCTTTAAGTAGAGTTATCTGGTCTGCAATGGTCAAACTTGTGAAGCCTGGCAATCGCTTTGCAAATTCCACTATTTTAATAATGCACTTTGTTGCAAGTTCACTGAATTTGTCCCAAAGCCCAAGGTCCAGTCGAACCCGATGGTCTGCGCTGGAGTTCTGGAAAGACAGACAGAAGGCACCATAAATCAACAACGTCTCTTTCAGTGAAGGGTTTTCAAGGGAAAGAAACAACAACTGAGTATTGCTTCCAGAAGTACTTTCTATTAACATTCCAGGCATTTTCTGTCGCTTGCTGTTGGGATGATGCTGGTTTTAAACTTGAATTAATCGCCTGAAAATTCCTTGGATATTTCTCTGTTACTTATGATTGCAGAGGCCATCTGTATGAGGAACACAAATGAACTTAAACATTTCCAAATGCCACTATCATTATTCTTCCTGGCCATTATATAATAAGTTCATTGAGAGAAACAATTTACAGTTGTACCCCAGAAAATAGAAACGAACAGTGGAACAAGACTATCAGGTCCTCATCTGGTAAAAGCAGCACAATATTTGGAACACAGTTTCGCATACTTAAGGTCTTAGCAAATTAGTTCTACTTGATTTATTTGCTCTGTGGCTCTGCAAGAGTTCTACAGCTTTCTCAAGCTACAGTCTCCCATGACTTAAAGAGCACTTCTTTACACGACATTAAAAACACCATGTACAGCAATGAATGCTATATGCTCATTTGACGGCGCATCCAGCTTTCACTCTGCTGTTTGAAGCGTTACAAGGACATTCCAGCTGCATCTTTCAGAGACTGATGCAGTCACGTATCTTAATCAAAAAGTCTGTAATTTGCTAGGATGCGTAGAGAATTTGCATTAACTCTGTAATTAAATTCATGTTTTCATACATTCAGAATAACCTCTTAACCATTGAAAGTGTTGAACATGTCAGCCAAGACCAGGCTGACTCAAAAGTTGCTGTGTTCTATTTGACTCTAGCCCAAGAAAAGATGGTGTCAAGGGGAGACCAGGCAACTCATTTCCAATCCACCCGTGATTCACAAGGGCTGACAAGAAACAGGTAATGACAGAGCTCTGAAATACCCGCAGCTCCTCTCCTCCTGTCCTAGCATGCGCTATGTTCCTGTTTTGCCAGTATTCGATACAGTGCTGTACAGGATGCAGCCAGTGTGACAGTCTCCCCCACTATTTCATGAGCCACCAAGTTTAGTGTGTGTTCTAGCTGCTTTCAGCATTTGGGCAACTTCCTCTTCACTGCAAGAGGAATTTTACCTGTCAAAATATTCTGGCAATGAATTTGCAAAAGGTGCTGAGCCACAACCACAGAGAAGCAGAGGCAGGGCATCTCTCTTCCACTTCTCATCTGAGCTTGTTGACTAACCAAGAGGGAGGCATCTCCAGAAAAAAGGTCAACTCACTCCAGATAGGTACCTAAGTCAGGGAAGGGAAGGGAAAATCCCCTCAGATGGTGGCTTCTTCTGCAGCTGCATAGAAAGCCAACGTGATTAGCTGCCTTAGTCTTAGCTGGTTGAAGTTATTAAACAAACTTTAAAATTAAAGTTAAATGAGAGGAGTATCAACCTAAAAGTCTAATAGCCATCGAAAAGCATTCCATTTACACAGATTGCACTTTCTTGGAGGAAACTTCTCTTCCACCATCACATCTGAGGATGTCCCCCTCCTCAGAAACCTTTGAAGCCATCAGCTTCCTTCGGTTCATGGGAAGGACACGAGGCCTGAAGAGGTTGACGAGGTGATGTGGGGCGAGCTCAGCTTGGCCGTGATGCTCTGTCACTCCCCCCCCAGGCTGCCTTCACCGACACCACGACCACCATCAGTCACAAAGAGGAAAGCCCTGACAGGTCCCAAGGGCACTGCCAGCCTGACATTCACCCTCACTTGCAGCAGGGCAGCGATTTGAGCCAGTAATAGTTACATTAGGCTCTTACTGCAAAAATAGTTGCTAACCATGCTGCACAGTTGGAAGGTGCATATGTGCTCTTCACTGCTGCCCCTCTTTTAAAAGGATTAAAAAATCAAATTCATCATTTCTATTTGAATTTTTGTTCTGGGAACTTACTTTTCTTTTAATGACAGAAGGAAAGATGGAAGAAAATGTCTTTGTAATCCTAAACCTAAAGAATTGCTTTCAAAACGGTCCCGAACTAATGGGTTAACAGTCATTGTAATGCCCTTTGAAACATTTCTTTCGGCTACTGGAGTATGCATCCTTCAGATTTATTTTATTTCATCCTCAAGGACCTTGGTGAAATACAGTACATTGGAGGAAAAATAAGATCAAGATGTGCAGTCATTCAGGCTGTAATTAAATTTAATAGGCAGTTTATCCAGTTCATAGAAAGATGGCATAGCGGAGAGCTACACAAAGCAGAGCCTAAAGCAGGAAATCATTTTACACTAGGGTATCCATCTGGAAAAAAAAGACGTTGCATGAAACCAGTAAGTGTGAACGAAATCTTCATCAGTATCATATGAGGTTACTTTATCATGCTGCAGTACTGGCAATGGGAAGTTTGATATGTCTTCTACTAAGAGTTATGCAGGGCAGTCTTAACAAATGTAAATCTAACTCGGTATTATGCAAACTGAAGAGAAGGGGCAGTTAATAAAATACAAAATAACCAGGTGGTTTATTACACCAGGTGCCAAATTCCTCAGCATTGGAGCTAATGTGGTTTACACATTATCACTGAGATGCTACAAATGGAGAGAGTTTTAACATTTTATCTGTTAATGAACATAGTCACAAGCGTCACAGAAAACAGCTAGATTTTTAGCAGCATTTCTAAATACATAAAAGCAAAACTGGCTCAATATCATTGTATAGAATCATTGAAACAGATGGGCTGGAAAAGACCTTTAAGATCATCAGGTCCAACCAGCAGTGCCATGTACACCACTAAACCGTATCACCGAGGGCTGCATCTACATGGTTTTTGAACACTTCCAGGGATGGTGATTCCACCACTGCCCTGGGCAGTTGGGATGCCTGAGCACCCATCCGGTGAAGAAATTTTTCCTAATATCCAGTCTAAGATCTCATCATCCAATAAAGATATTAAACAACACTGGCCCTGCTGTATTGTACTTCCAGCACACAGCTGGTAGGTTGAAGTCCCTGACGACAACAGGGGCTAAGGATTGCTAAACTTCTAGTTGTTTGAAAAATGCTTTATCTGTAGCTTTATGCTGGTTGGGTGGTGTATAACAGACACCTACCAGGGTATCTGCTTGGTTGGCCTTCCCCCTATCTTCACCCACAATCAGCCTTCTCCAGTCACAGCACTGAGTTCAAGGCAGTCGATGCACTCCTTGACATACAACACAACCCCACCACCTCTCTTTCCTCACCTGTCCCTTCTGAAGAGCCTATAGCCATCCACTGCAGCACTCCACTCATGTGAGCTGTCCCATCACGTTTCTGTGATGGCGACTGTGTCATGATTTCCCTGCTGCACAATGGCTTCCAGCACCTCCTGTTTGTTGCCCATGCTGCAGGCATTGGCATAAATGCATTTAGGTTGCCCTGTGGATCTGGCCTCCAACAGTGTCAACGCTGCCCGTGGCTCAATTCTAGAGAGCGTGGTTTTTTGGTGAAGCCCCTGACCCTGGCCCCAGGGAGGCAGCAGACGTCCCTGTGAGTCGGGTTGGGTCGACATATTGGGCTCTCTGCTCCCCTCAGGGGGGAGTCACCGATCACAACCACTCTCCTTTTTTTCCTAGTAGAGTTGGTCACGATACGAGGCATTGTCTGACTCACCCGCAGCGACAATTCCAACCTGGATGATTCCCTATATACTTCATCATCCTCCTCACTTTCCTGATCCTCAAGTACCAGGGCCTTGAATCTGTTGTAGAGGGGTACTTGGGAAGGTGACATAAACTGGGGAGTAATACGCCATCTACTCCAAGGAGTAACCTGTTTCCAACCACCTCTGTCTCCTAGGTCCCCTCCATCTTCCTGGTGGCAAAAGCATAGGGGATCCTTAATTTCTCTTGTTCTGGGATGGTACAGTACAGCTCCACCAGTCAATCTCCTCCTCAGATTCCCTCATGCTCCTTAGCCCTTCCAATTCTTCCCATAGCTCTGCCACCATGCAGAGCAAAATATCAACCTGATCACACCTTGCACAGCTACCATCCAACATCACTGACAGGCTCTGGCACTCGCAACAGCCAGACACCCGGACGGCTACATATTCTTGAGGGACCCCAGCTGGGTCACCATGTCCTTTCTGGCCACAAGAGAAGATTTTGTTTTCTCTGCCTTCTGCTGAGAGGACGACATCCTTCAACACCCTCTCAATGACCACTGGCTGAGCTTACCTCTTAAGCTGCCAGGCTTCCGGGCCCTTCCCGCTTGCCCTGCCTGCATGAACTACCACAACATGCCCTGACTGCTGCGCCATGCTCCCGGTTGCTCATGCTCCCATGGGGGTGTTTTATCCCATGGGAGCAAGTAGGAGTTGCCACTCCCGGTGCCTCCCCTAAGAGTCAGCTGCCCAGCCAGCAGAGCTGCTGGCTCACGGGCAAGTCCTGGCAAGGACTTGTGTGGCTCTGGTCATTGGGGAATGAGGCTCCTGGACATTGTGTTTCCCCATGCTCCAGTGCTGAAGGCATCCTCTCTGGAGCTACTCACCTCAGCAAATGCAGCAAAACATTCAGCATGCAGTAAAAACAAAACAAAATAAATGCAGTAAAACAGGTTGAACGACAAAGCACAGGGTTAATAAAATGCACGTTAGAAACAAACTCAGATGAGATTTGCCTGGGGATTGCCTCTAACCATGCTGTGAAAAAGATGCAGACGCTATGACTTTTCCTGAATATTTTACTGAAGCAGTTTTTTGACTGTCTTTACCAGGAGCAGTCTTGCATGTTTTTCAGGCCTATGCACCAGTGCACATATGGTGGAACAATACTGTAATACACCCCAGTGGCATCTTTATCAGTTGAAAAGCCCAACCTTGCTATGAAATCCAATTAAACAGTCATTTTTGCCACATAAATTGATCCCATTTTTCCATCATTTTTGTTTTTTTCATTGCAGGCTGCTCTATGTCCACATTAACAATATGGGATGAGGTACTCACAGAAACACACACAGTAGCAGAATCCCTACTGTCTTTAAAATCCACTTTACAAAGGAAACAAGGCTCACAGGGGAACTCTGCCCTAATCAGGAACGCTTGCTATGCCTCTTTAGCAAAAGCAATGCACTCGAGCTCTGGTGAGTTCACCAAGGACCACAGCACACATCTCTGCTCACTCCCAGCATCAGGAGCTATATGTGCGCATGTGTATATATCCTGATATATATATATATATTCAAAGGAATATACATAGGCACAGAACAACAGCCACATAATTTCTAAGCTCAGCACTATCAATATGCTGCCAAGATGCAAAACATCTTTGCTTCCAGACAGCCGAGAGCAACCCAGGAGAACCTGAAGCAAGGGTCTGCAGAGTCAAACTTATCTTCTGTTTTATCCTCCCTTTATCATGAGGCTGGATGTAACACAGCTGCAGACCTACAAATAATGCCAGTCTCGAGGGACAAGCAGTATAGTTACACTCAATTATACTATAAAGTATGACATCTCCAGAGAAATTACTAAGACACTCTCTCTTACCTGGATGACAGTAATAAAACAGATCTATTTATGATGGACTTTTGAAACCCATAACATTTAAACAGCTTGCTGATTCTCATCATCATCAGAACTACACTTGCCACTTCCCAGCAAATGCAACTGTTAAGTCAAATGACCCAGGGAATTTAATACGAGTGCTATTCTCCCATTATTTTAACTAGACTTTTATTAACTATGCAAAGTATGGTAATTATTACAGATAGGGACACTTTTTCTTTTTAAAGAGCAGATGGATGAAAAAAAAATCATAATTCACAGTGCTTCTCCAGACTCATTTTTGAACAGGTAAAAATGTACGACGGAGGAGGAAAAATCACCATGTAACATTTACCTCTGGGAAATGCAGGCTTCAGTGCTCAAGAGTGAGAGGAGCCAGATAGATACACAAGCCAAATGTCTGAACAGATTTTTTTATGATTGTATCTCTGTAAGGTCTTCTTTGTTGCACTCTCTTATACTTAAAATTCTTCTCTCTTTTTAGCAACAAACAAAATCATGTTTTAAATCAGTCTGGCTGATCACGCAACCAAAAGCACACAGGGGCTGCACTTGCGGAACAGTTTCTTCTGCCCACTGTCTCTATCTGTACGCAAGAGCAAAGCTCATGAAATTCAAGTGAATCCACATCAATTCAATACACTCACTTGTCACCTCTTGCTTAAAGAATTGAATAAAAAACTCTGAGGTTACAAAAGCAATCTGTACGCTCTGCAGCGTGAGCATGCCATGCCTCATGACTGCTAGTCTGCAGAACAGGGCATAAAAGCACGACTGGTGGCAATCTTTGACCCGTTCTAGCTTGTTACTGATCAGGAGAAGTAGAATGGTGTAGGCTTCTCGCTCCCCTGGGACTCAGCATTTAGAAAAAGGGATGTGTGTTCCTTTTTTCTGACTTCTGGTCTCTATTTCATGTGTCTCAAAAGATTACTGCCTGAGCCCTGCCATTTGACCGGCAGCTGGTCATGTTATGCAAGCACCAAAGCTGTGTTTCTCTGACCAGCACACACACCTCCACCTCCTTGATCCTCTGCCACTGCACAAAGGCTTCCCCCCCTACTCCTGGGCTGATGGGCAGCTGGAGATGAAGATGACCCTTACTCCAGCCCCAGCAGTACTCTGCCCCTTCCACATCTGGGCAGAGACAGCATTCAGAAAAATGAGCTCTTAACACTGAATTCCTAGCTAAAAAGCTGGAGTGGTTGCCACACCTTAGTTGATGAGAGATTTAAATACTCTCCATTTCACACAAAGACTGTGAGAATGCAGGAGGAAGACAGCATTTAGCACTGCTGCTATTAGTTTTGACACAGCTGTTGAAGGAAGCTGTATTGCTGTCAGATACAAGGTAAGCCAAAAATACTCTTTCAGTCTAATTTCAGGCAATTTGTATAGTACCACACCATGACAAAGCAGCATGGACTTCAGCCACACACAGCTAATCACTGCAGACTTCTAACAGACCAGAGATAAAACCAAGAAACCTTTTTCCCTAAGCTCTCTGATCTGGCCTGAGGTACAGTAATCAGTGTCTAGCCCCAGACAGAGTGTGGTCAGGTCATGGTTACTCAGGACCCACAGACAGACCAGATTCATCTGTTCATTACTTAGCTCCAGGTACTCTCAGTAAGGGTTCTGAAATTCCA